TAAATATTTTTTATATGCATATTTTATTTAAAATATTTTAAAATAAAAAAGAAAATTAAATCAGTGCCAAAACAAAGCAAATCAATTTCAAACTTTCAAAATTTCAAGTTTGACACTAATTACCATTATTTTTTTTTTTTTTTTTAATAAATAATAGATTTACGTTTTCAATGAGAAGAACATTTTGTGCTCAAATCTTAATTTTGCTTTCGCTTTTACTACTGCTGCTTTCACTATCTGATTAAATTTTATTAATAAATAGGAAGTAGTTGACGACATTTTTTTAAACTTATATTATTTAGTATGTATTAATTGTTGAACAATAGAAAAAAATTAATATTCTAGTAAACTCATCTACAAACGGAACGCAAGCAAATGCGTTCAAATTTGTCCATAACATTTTAAATATTTATGCTCTATACTAGATCATTAAATATAACATAATTTATTTCAGTAAATTCATTATCTGGTTTTCGCCGAGCTTCCCATTGATAACCAATTAACAACGCAATTCTTGGCCAACATAAATATTCAGCTAACACAAGCAGTAATTTTTGTAGAACATGTTAAAATATAAATCAGGAATGTAACTGGATCTATCTGCATTAAAGATGCCTTCCGTGCCCGCCCCAGGCGCCGTGGGAGTTTTTTGTGTTGTTGGTGTTTGCTGAACCCGAAACATGCTGCGGGCAACATGTTGCTGATAGCGACAATAGCAACAAGTTCCGCCGCATCGGCAGGGGGGAGTGTAAGGCAACCCGATTCACATAAGATAAACATCTGATAAAGCTTAACTTGATCTATTTACTGTCCGATTTCTCATGCATCTGAAGATTATTGTATTTAGTATGTGTACCTTGATAGATTCATAGAATTTGCAATTTGTTTCAAATATATTCTTCACTTATTCCCATGCAAATTATAAATATTTTATTTAAAGCACACATTTGACTCTTCTATAATTTTTATACATTTTTTTGGCATTGATGCTGGCAAATCAAATTTTTGTTTTACATTCATAACACACATAATATATGTATGTATATTTAATTTGTTCACTTAAGCCTCATATCATCATCGATTTCCACTATATATAAAATTAAAAGATGTAAACAAAGTGGAACCCACGTTTGCCAACTGCTCACTGATTGTTTTGCACTCGGGAATTCGCGGTCCGCAACGATCTTCACGCTCTCACGTCTTCACTCGTCGCATGATGCTCGTGAACTGATCGTGAGCAAGCACGACGAAACATGTGAAACCGGTGCAGCCAGAGAGTAAACTGATACACGCTGACCAGCTGGAGCAGCTGCTTTGGCGTCTGCCTCTGCTTCGGCTACAACTGCGACTGCAATTGCAACTGTGTCTGTATCTGTTCTGGCTTCTTGAGCCCAGGCGTAAAACAATTAAGTCGTTGGGCGTGAGGCTTGTTGAGGCGCATAATCAGGCAACGGGGGTGTAACTACCTGGTAATAGATTAACTCAATAGATGTGACATACTACAAATGTATTATTATATATTACTTACAGAATTTAAAATTTGGAAGAAAAATAATTCTAAAATTATTATATATTTTTATGTATGCTCAAAAATATATTCAAAATTTCAAATAAATATTATATATATAAATTAATGTAAATGTATTATGTATTTCTAATTAATTTTTACGTTAAAAAAATTCATTAATTATTAGTTTATATTTATTAATAATTTGACAAATAAATGATATAATATCAAATATTTCTTGTTTTAATAATCAGCTTCTATAGCGGCTATATAAGCCCCTAATCGATGTAGTATTTTAAATTAAATAAGCCCACCAATTGAAGAAAATTATACAAATACATTTATAATAATAATATAATCACGATTATATATCCTAAAAATAAATAAACAGCTAGCAAATTCAAGTATCGATTGAGAACCAGTTACTCCTGACACAAAGATGTATATACAAGCAAAATCGCTTTTTTTCTTTCTTTGTAAAAATTGTGGAAGTATAAACAAATCAATGAAAAAGTAAACCCAATCAACAAGCTCTATCAATAACAAAACTATAAGCAGAGTGTCTCATAGTTATTAGAATAATTTATTTGAAACTTTTGTAGCAAACTTTTTGGCTCAATTACAATGTTTATTACAATCAATACTCTTTTCGCTTAGCCTAACTACTCGATTATCAAACTCCATTGCGCTCCTCGGGTCGTGTCTCGCTGTAAAAGCCCAAATTCATCGTCGGTATCATATTGCTGTAGAATGACAATTCCGCAGCTCTCAGATTGGACATGGGCACCGGTTCCGGTATGACGGGCGGCTTGCCAGCACCGGCTTGCTCGCCCGCCATGGAATGAGTCAGCGGCACTGATGAGGCAGCTAAGAGAGCCTCCTGGGTGCTCTTGGCCACGCTATGCTGCAGCTCGTGTACTTTTAGATGGGTCTGCAGCTCGCTCTGCTGCAGGAAGTTGATGCAGCAGATCGGACAGGTATAGTTGGGGCCATGCACCTCCAGCTCGTGGCGTTGCAGTTGCTCGCGCCGATTGAAGTTCTGTCCGCAAATTTTGCATGCAAACAGGCTGTCCAAGTGCAGCGCTCGATGACGCTGAAGATCTCGCTCTCGCTGGAATCCCCTGTCACAGACATCGCAGCGAAAGTTGCGTGACATCTTCGATGATGGCTTAATCTTTGCCTGCACAGGTGGATACGAATAAGGCGGCGCCGCCGGCTGTGTCTGCGTCTGCGGCTGTGCTGCTGCTCCTGCTCCTGCTCCTGCTACGGCTGCATCGTTGTCAACGTAAGGATGCAGTGGGAGCTGCACTTGGTCTGGTGGCATCGTCATGCGCACACCTTGTTGCTGCTCGGCGTCGCGCTTTAGGTGCACATGTTGGTGCATGGAGAGCTTGTCCTTGCGTGCAAATGAGGCGGGACAACGCCCACACTGATACGGTTTGACCTCGGCATGGGAGCGCCTGTGCTTCATCAGCTCAAGGGGCGTCTGGAAAGAGCGAGGGCATTGCTGGCAAACGAAGGGCTTCACGCTGCTATGTATGCGCAAATGCTTGGTTAGATTTGTGTTCCGTGAGAAGCTCTTGGAGCAGACGTGGCACGAGAAGGGACGCACGCCCGTATGCACAATAGTGTGCTTCTTCAGGTCTGAACGTCGCACGAATCCCTTGTTGCAGTGGGCGCACACATACGGACGCTCGGCGTCGTGCAGCTCCTTGATGTGCGCTATCAATGCCGGTCGCGTCGTCAAACGCTGCTGGCAGTAGTTACAGATATATGGGGCAGCAAGATCGTGTCCTGTCAGCTCATGCTGTTGGCAATCCGGCTGCAAGGTGAAGGCCAGGTCGCAGTATTGACAGAGGAACGCGCTCTTGGGATGCGCATTGGCATTCACAACGGCATCGGCTGAGAGATGAGCCTGCATGAGCGCCATTTGCGCTGCGTCCATGCCGAGTGGTATCTCTACATCTTCATCATTTGGCGCTTCCTCCTCATCCTCATCGTCCCATTCCTCGTCTTCATTTTCGGCCTCGCCATCGGAGCCCATGAACTCATCATCGGTCGTTTCGCACAGCTGATCCGGATCCACGTCGACAATGACGCAACCTTCTTCACCCTCCTTAAACTCAAATACACCAGGATTGCCATTTAGCCCTGGTCGATACCTGGCGTCCAGGGAAATGATGTTCTTTAAATCCTGCTGCAGACCGTTTTCACGTTGTTGCATGGAACGGCGTTGCTCATAGAAGTCCTTCAACATTTCCAAACAATTCTCACAAATGAGTTCTGGCAGGAATTCGTGGCGATTGTACTTTATACCCCAAACACTTTCGCACACATCAGCAATCAGCAGCTTTTCGCTTTCATTCTCGGAATTTTCTTTGATAAACTCCACAGATGCTTCATAGATGTTTGGAGATTCCTTTGTCAGCGCTGAACGGGAATGGCATAGACGACATGGCATTACTTCTGTGCCACCATGTTTTTTATCCCCGGCAGGAGCTACCGCCTCTTCTATGCCTAGATTTAGCATTTTTATCACTTTGTTATGACTAACGAGCGGCAACGCGAATTATAATATGTAACATAACTGCAAGCATTTTCACAGTGGCGTGCTGCTTTTAACAGAAACCAAAACATGTTCTGGGATATGCCAGCCCTGGTATGTAAATTTGCATATCTTGAAATTATTTCTTTGATTTTAGCTTGTTAAACTTTAAGCAAGCAAGAAATACTAAGTTCGTATATTCAAAACATGATAACATTTTAAAATAAGTGTCTTATAATTTCAATATAAAAATACTAGTCAAACACATAGTTAATAATAAAAATAAACAAACTCTTAACAGTGCTGAATGAGTAGGTCCATCGATTTGAACTACCGATAAATGCAAGCGTGTATGGAAACTTTGAGCAATCGATAATACCGCAAATTACATATCGTATGTTGAAATACACGCAATGGTAACGTTCCATTTGAATTGCCATTCAATGTTAAAACTGGCGAAGTCTTCTTTTAAAGCAATATACTGCTGATATAATTATACAAAATTATACTCAATTATAGATTTCAGTATACATTTTAATATTATTAAAGAAAAACGTGTACTTGCATTACAGATTATATTAAACCTTATAACTGCATAAACGCATTACAAACATTCGTAAGTACGAATTATATTAAATTAAAACGTAACTGTCAAAAAATGTCTGTGCATGTAGAAATAAATACATACATGTGGGAGTAAATGTATGCCAAACATACACTACGCATATTCTCTTAAATTGTTGAAATCCTCTCTATCTCCCTCTTACAAATGCCTTGGGGTTGTCGGCTTCAACGGTAGGACGAGGGCTGGCTTAGCTTCTCTCTGTGTATGTGCGTGTACAATATATACATATATCGAGATGGTCGCGTGACGAAAACATTTTAATTATTTCAACACTTGTTGAATACAATATTATTTTATGCGCTTAGCAAAATATTGTTTTAATAATTAGCCAAAAACAGAATTTAGACGTTGTTATCTGTGAAGTGTAATTCGATTATTTCAATGTCTGCTATTCCATCGCAGTCAATATGAGCCTTTAGATTGCACGAGACGTATAAATGGGCACGAGCAGGAAGGTCACGCACACGCCTCTACTTTCCACAATTGCGCGCGCACACACACATTGAAAAATATTATAGAGCATGCGAAAGCTTATTTAATTCACTAGTCGTTTACTGGCATTTGAATAACACAAGTGTTTGTGAGAAGTTGTATTGGATGGCAGGCAACACGATCATATAGTTACCAGTCGGTCATATTAGTAATTGCCTCTTAAATGTAAACCAAGTACCAAGTGGTCAAATTTTAAACTGTTCACAGGGCTCGTGTGATATGTGAAATACTGTTTGAGTTTTAGTTGTACAGCATTGTGTTCAATTACAGTTTGTGTCGATAGAAAACAATTGGAAAAGCAACGGCAAATGCCGACTTCGGACATCGACAGCTACAAGTAAAATCAACAGTAACAGCAACAACAATAGCAGCCAGCAGAAGCAGCAGGTGAAAATCCGCAGTGGACGAATTTTGTATTTAGCCAGCTGCAGAGTCTAAAAACAGAGTAAGTGGAAATGTCCCAGCAGTTCATTAGTGATTCCCATCTGTGAAAGTGTTTTTATAGTTAATATTCGTTAAACATATTAGCGCACACCTTCGTACATACATATATACGTATGAGTGTGTGCACTCTAACGTTCCAAGTATCCTGGCAAAAACAATTGGTTTATTGCGCACTCATTTTGTCTTATGTTTAGACAATGCGTATGTCGTCATGTGCTACATTCCCCTGCACTGTCTCTCTCCAGCTAGCCACCCCCTTTACCATTCAATGTCCTTAGCGGCGGTTGTAGATTTGTTTCGTGTGCTGCTGACCTACCTACCCTGTAGCGCCAGCAGTGACTCGCAGTTGAAATGAACCCAACCATATGAGCGCTTTAAATTTGATGGAATGCAAAATAATGGTTCGTAAGGCTGTAAACTAGTTTTTGTACATAGGTACACAGATATGAAGAGCTAAAACATAGGAGCAAAGCTAATTTCCCTTTAACATACAATCCACGGGCTCATTCGAGCTGGGAGCCACTGTATGCACGCAGTTATATTTTAAGACTCGGCCTTGTCATCATTTATTCCTACTATATCAACAAATACTTTAGGCATTCCACTTATTATTTATATTGCGTGCTACAATTTTATTTAATTAGATGAGAACAATTGAATTATTAATATAGTTGAATTGAGCATGTAAAATATAAAAAAAGTTCAAGAGAGACCAACTTTTAGTCAAAGGATTATATACCGTTCTGGGGTTAGTAAACCATTATTATTCGTAAAAGGCACTAGAAAATTTTTGAGTATTATCAAAAGGCTTACATAACTTCGTATTATTATTGTATATCAGTATAATAATATATGCTTACATAAAATACTTTGGGAAAACGAGTATTACCAGTTACAATGTGACCTTCAAACATGTATTTTTAAAAAATCAATCAATGATATCCTCTACTAAAATCTTAATTATCTTTAAAGATATATTATTTTGATATTTATGCGTTATATTTTTTTTTTTCGTATAATATAATAGATAATTATAGTCAATTTTTTTTTTTTTTTTTTTTTTTTTTGAACATTATAAAATTGCATTATCTACAATCGTAAATATCATCGCAAATAAGTGAACAGTCTGAGAAGAGTCTACAGTATACCCAGAATAAAAATTTGATGCTTAGCTGTGCAAGACGAGAAGCCAATTGAAATTATTAGATTTCAAATTTTCCTGACTCTAGACGGTTAAAGTGAATCAGTCTGATCTGACTGCGTCAATATATTCTTCCAGATTTTTTGTGTAGACCAGCTGACGTTCTCGTGCTCGTTGACTTCGAACATGGAAATTGTTTGTAAATATGTATATGACAAATTGGTTCTGAGTGCCTTATTATTAGGCAGTATTTGTATAAATATATGCATGTTCATATACATATATGTATATATGCTTGTACATAAACATACATACATTAGATTGAATCACGCCATAATCTTATCATTGCGTTGCTTTGAGTAAATGAAATTTGATGCGACCTCTGATTTGTAGTAGGGCGTTTTCCATTTTTCGTGATTCAAACACTATTTATTCGACCGGAAGTTTTTTGACCCAATTTTAATGGCTAATAGTGTAAGCATAGATAACACGAGAATTTTTTGTTTTTTTTTTGTATAGCATATTACTAGATTTCTCTCAAGCTCTATTGCCCACAAAATTTTGTTTATAAATTAATATTATATTTGATGTGTCGTGTCATTCCGTGACGTGTGCACGAGTGTCCAACACGCGCCCATCTCTTTGTTGCTGTAGAGATAGAAAGACCGTGAACACATTTACCGTTTCGATCGTTAAAAGTATTAGGACGAAGACGTAGAGATTACACGAAAATAAAAGTTCAAGTGCCGTTTGAAACATATGTATAAAAATAAAGCCAATTTAATCAATGATAAATAGTTAAGGCTATCTTGATATTCTTAAATCGAAAATAATGGGTATACTTACTGATAAAATCATCAAATTAAATCGAAGTGTAATTGGTTTCCTATTTGGTCTTTTGTATGTTAAAATATTATAAAAGAAACTAAAAATTGATGAAATTCTGATTGCATTTTATAGCTTTCATGTCAATTAACTACTTAAAGAACTTTATAATCCAGATCAACAAATCTTAATCTATATAGAATGCAAGGCAAACGGAACCCCTACGAAGTTTATAAATGCTGAACAAACGTTGTATTATTTTGGATTATATATAGAAAAGTTTATCATTGATTGACTAGGAGTACTTCTGACCTATGAAAGCAATACATGTGATTAAACGATAATAGCACACTATAAATATTCAGTAATACAAATTAGAGGGGTAATTCACTCCAGTGTACGCCTTGGATCAAACTTACAATTATAAATTCTAATTCACAAATTAAAATATCATATTCAAAGCTAAAGCTTAGGCAAAAAGTGAACAGAGAGCAGGAAGAAAAGAGAACGAAAATAATTAACGTAAAGCTCGTGTTAAGCTTTTAAATGCATTTAAATGAGTTGAATTTGTTTAAAGAGTATTTCTCTAGTGGGTAATGCTCTATTGGACATGTCGAAATCCAATGGGACATATGAGCTCAATATCAAAGTTCAGCGCCCTGATCCAACTTGCCATTAAATTCGTAATTTCTGATAAGCTCTTTGCGATTAATCAGCGTGTATTTTGCTGTTAAAGGCTTTACCTGAAATGATATAGGCTCTTAGTTCTGCTCGGTACTGCGACTGTTTAGGACGTGCCTAGGCGGAGGATAAATAAGAATTACGGAGCAGACTCTCTAATAACTCCGATTCGTTACAACCAGTTGCCAAGAGCGTGAGGAGGCCCATAAAGCGGTACGACCAAAGACCATATTAAATAGGCAATTGTTTTATGAAGGCATAGTGTATATACATAGATGCTTACATAGACACCTGCGTTGCCAGGTAATTTCTTATCTTGTGGCAGAAGTGTTTCAAATCGAATTAGCTACCAACGATATCATTTTGTTTTCTATTAATTAACTGTGCTCGAATTGACGCATACATAAATTGGATACTGCAGACCGGCGATCAATCGAAGTGAAACCTTCAATATTATTAGACTTTATATAGACATTAGCTGTCGAGCAGTCACCGGAAAAAAAACCACAATATTAATGTTTATTATTGATTCATAGGTATCTTTATTGCGAGACAGTTTGATATGGTTATTCGTTTTTTTCATTAATATTCCTCAGTGAAAGATTCCATATGTAATAAATAATACCATTTCCAACTTATGTTTATATGTTATACTTAAACAACATCGAAACACTATATTTAAATGAAATACCTTTATACCCTGCATGGGGCTTATAGTATAAGAGAACTATAGAACAGAAGAAACTGCTGCCTATGCCATCTAATAATCTATATATATATATAGCATAATGAGAATGTGTGCATCGTTTGTCTGTGTCTGTGTCCGAAGAAGTACTATATATATGAATACAGCAATTTCATTTGCTATTTATTTTTGATGATTATTAATATTATTATTATTGTTATTATTATTATCTGGCGTCGAGCTCAACGTTTGAGGGCGACTTAGACTCTGAGTGGGTATAGTTTAATTAAATGGGACATCAATCTTAAGTAGATATATTCCGAAAACAATTTAGATGATTGTCATGAGCTGGTTAGTCGTCTTAGTTTTTGTTTTCAGAAATTTGAATATCTAAATTTAATTAAATTATACCATTGTGGTATACTATCAAAATTTTGCAGTATTACTGGAAAAAGTCAGCCTCAGCCTTAACCTACGAAATGGCTTGCACCTGTGAAGTAATTGGCCTGGCCTGTGTCGTTGCGCTTATCTTGAGTGTTGCGGCCAAGGCACCCTATCAGATGCGAATGTTTATTGTAATGTTCGGAGCTGGTGCAATTGTGCTGTTGTGCATTCCCTTCATGATACTGCGACCGAGAGACTATCGAAATGGACTGTGAGTGAAGAGGTGCATAGCTTTACTTCTGTTTCGTGTCTAATGTTTCTGTATTTCTCCCGACAGAGCACCCTCCTGGTTCTTCAGACAGCTGTGCAAGCTAATGGGCATCACCATGGAAGTGCGTGGTGTGGAGAACGTGAGAAGGGAACACGGCAGTGTGGTGCTTATGAACCATCAAAGCGCTCTTGATCTCTGCGTGCTGGCTTACTTGTGGCCAGTGATAGGACGGCCCACTGTGGTGGCCAAAAAGGAAATTCTGTACATGCCCTTCTTTGGCGTTGGCGCCTGGCTCTGGGGCACTTTATACATCAACCGATCGCGCAAGAGTGATTCAATTAATTCATTGCAGAAGGAGGCGATCGCTATACGCGAACGGAATTGTAAGATCTTAGTGTTTCCGGAGGGCACTCGCAATTCCAAGGATACTCTGCTGCCATTCAAAAAGGGTTCATTCCACATTGCGCTTCAAAGCAAGTGCACGATACAGCCTGTGGTTGTATCGAAATACTCGTTCTACGATGAGGAAAAGAAAAGCTTCCGACCAGGCCACGCTATCATACAAATACTGCCCGAGATATCAACGGAGGGCTATGAAAAGGAAGATATGGACAAACTGATCGAGCTTTGCCGATCCACTATGCAACAAGAATATACGAGGTTGAGCAAAGATCAGCTTGCTGTGAACTCAAAAAAACAGTCATAAATATGTATGTTTATATATATATTATAATGTTAAACTCAGGTTATGTATACAAATTGTCGGTATTTAAGAGAATGAAACAACGCAAAATGCTTAATATTCTGAAAAAAAAAAAATTGTGTAGATATGTGGCAGAATTCAGTTAATGTATTATGATATGGATAAGTTTAATGAATAACTATATTACAATTACTGTTTTAGAATATTTTTGAATAATTTTATTGTTAGTGCATTTTACATGCATAGTTATTTGAAGACGTTCATTTGAAACAGATTTGATGCCAACGCCAAACGATAAAAAAAAAACCTAACTCGACAATTTAAAAAATAATAATAATATTGCCTACATAAGCTAAGAGAAATTTATTTCACGCAGTGCAAAAACAAGGAACAAAAAATTAAATAAATCATGAGAAACAAATATCTAACTACGTACTTATTAAATCGAGTTTTCAAATTATTATCTGTGTAAACTACAGACCCCACTAAGACATTGTTTTATGGAAAAATCTTTGTGTGAAATATATGGTGATGTTACCTATTAAATCGATTTGCTTATATGCTTTTTGGGGGGGCTATGCACCTTTCACGAAGGTAAATTAGCAGGACAGCACAGTATATTTTTGCATTCTAAAATGTTTTTCGTTTCAGAAATAAGTTTTTTTATTCGCCATTAAAATTTATACATATAAATCTGAATTAAAATAAGCTGACACCACGCCTGACAGTTACACTTTATTATTTAAATGTGTGAATCTGGCGCCGATAAGCGCAACAGGTTTTCGATGAATATGTGTATTGTATTGCTGTTGGTCGTATCACTGCGATAACTGGTATCGATTATTCTAAACTTCTAACAACCAGCTGATTTTGTTGACCATCGCGAGCGAAATAATTCTTTTTAAAATGAGCTTGAAGCTAACTATAATTTCATAAAATTTCAATGTATTGCAAATCATTGAAACCAGCAAATCGAAGAGTTCGACGTGAGTAAAAAAAAGAATATTAAATTCATTTAAATTTACTTCTGAGGCATAATTATTAATATTCAGAAAGCACCGGCATTATAGGGTATCATAAGCTGTGAGCAAAATGGAAGCTGTGGAAATTAAAACTGAGCTTGAAGATGATACCGAATGCAACAGTCAACTAGAGCAGCACATGGAGCACAAACAAGACTCGGAATCGGAGACTACAGTAGAAATCGAGTTTAAGTCGGAAGTTGACATAGAGCCTACGATTGTGGGTGAATCCATTAAACTTTATGACATTCAAAGGCTGCGAGAATTCGGTGATGTGCCCTTCATAATAAAACGAATGGAGCCACAGGATTTGTCCATTAGCTATCGCAAGGCCGTCACCAACGCTGAGTCCATTTTGGAGCGACTGCGTCGCAACAGAGTTCCAACTGGAGTCGGCATTGCCTTGCGCATCGCAAGTCATTCACCTTCGTCATGCATTTTGATTCTTGCGTGAGTCTGCGATTGCGAATCATGCTTGCTGCATATCCGTTAATCTTCCAATTAAATTCTAGCATACTGAATCATAAATGCCATTTCTATTGCAACGACAAGATGATGCTGTCCAAGACCTTGCACATGCAGATGTGCCGGGCTGGCATTGATTACCTGGTAGTCAACGGACACATGCCCGTTGGTACTGCCTACTTTCAAAGGCTCGACACCTTTCTCGCCTACAACGACGAGTACAAACTCTACAAATTGCAGCCCATATCCAGTGATGCTGCGCCCGAGGCAAAGGCTTCACTGCCATCCAATATGTGCTATACGATTACAACCACTGGGACCACAGGAGAGCCGAAATTAATTCACGTACCGTATGAATGCATTGCACCAAATATAGTGGGACTCAGGTGAGCTTAAGATTTGGGAGCTTTTCATAAAGTCTTATTTCGATTAATTTTATCTGTCTCTCATAGTTTAAAACTAAATATATCAATGGCTGACATCATTTACCTGGGCACACCTTGCACATTTGATCCATCGGTTGTGGAGCTCTTCTTGGCTATGCAAAATGGGGCCGCTGTCCTGCTCAGTCATTACGAGATGCGCGAGTCTCCCAATCGGGTTCTGAACGACCTCTTTCCGACAAGTGTGACCACGCCCAGCATAACCGTGTTGCAAATGACGCCCTCACTCTTTCGACAGTTTGGTGCGAGTGCAATACGGAAGAGGATATTAAACAGTTCCAGTACTCTGAGGTGGGTGCTGGTGCGATATCCATTTGTTAATCCACCTAATCGAAGGTTCCATTAAAGTGCCCTGTAATTTTAGAGTGCTGTTACTTGGCGGCGAACCGTTTCCATCTAGCGCAGAGCTGGCCACCTGGATAGACCCGCCGGTGCTATTCCAAAAACAAATCTGTAACATCTATGGTATTACGGAGGTGTCGTGCTGGAGCCTGATGCACGTTCTACAGTCTCTGCACGAGCGCGTACCTTTGGGCACGCCCATCGACGATGAGACTGTGCTGCGCATCCATATTCAGTCGAAAAGAAACAATCTGAATGCAGACTGTGGCGAGCTTTGGCTAGGCAGCGCCACACGTCGCTGCTACATACCAGAGATTGATGATCTAGAAAACCAGATGGATACCAATGATAAAGCTTCCTCTGTCTGCTATCGTGCCACGGGGGATATTGTACGACGCTTTGACGACGGCTCAATAGTATATGAAGAACGCGCGAATGATGTAGTTAAACGAGCCGGTACACGAATCAGCCTGGGTATGGCAAATTGAATTTACAATTTAATAAAATATTCAAGTATATTAACCACGTCCTTTGCAGGGCTCATTACGCGCAAGATAGAGACATGCTTGCTTCACAGCGAACTGGCTACATGTCTATGGCTCGATGAACTCCAGAAACTTATCTGCTGTATTCGAAGCCTTGAGCCTAAGACGAAGATACAGCAGAGAGCGCAGACTTTTAATATGCTGTCCAAACTAATGACGGCTGAACAACCGGACAGATTCGTTTATTTGCAACACTTTCCATGCAATGCACACGGCAAGTTGGACAAAATGCTGCTACTCAAAGAGTGTACACTGCTAGCGCAGCCCGCTCAAGACATACTCAGAAGCTTTCTGCACGACAGGCTTGAATGCGTGGACGTTCAAAATAAAGGCAGTCAGAAGAAACAGCGACTGGAGCCAGCATGCTCGCAATCTAATCTCAGCGGATATGATCTGAGTTTTCGTCATGCTGGCGGCACCTCGTTTCATGCCGTTACTCTGTGTCGCGAAATTGGTTTGCAGATGTGCATTGACGACGAGCAGCGACATCTCTTTGAAATGCTGCTAGACGAAAATGTTTCGCTGCGCAGCATATTGCAGTTCCTAGATGGAGCCAAGCTGGTGACCCACAATACCAAAGTGAAACCCATCAAGCCACCGCCAAGCTCTGATGTGAGCACAACTGAGGACAGCAGCACAAGCACCGTAGGCGTGGTCATCACTCGCTTCGAGAAACCATCTTTGCATTTTAAGTGCCACTGGAAGAAGACTTTCTACAAGTGCATCGATTCACCGGTGGCGCAGTACGAGGGCCGATACGTGTGCGTGGGCGCCCATTCGAAGCAGCTGCGCACCCTCGATGCAGTGACGGGAAAGGAGTATAGCAGAATTAAGTTACCCGATCGCATTGAGTGCAAGGTTACATTCCTTAGCGAGCAGCTGGCCATGGTGGGGTGCTACGATGGCGGCCTCTATGGCTTCAATCCGTTGACTGGCGATCTTTTATGGAACGTAGATGTCGGTGGCATGATTAAATCACAGCCCTTCTTATCATCGGATGGAGAGCGCATCGTAGTCTGCAGCTATGCGGAGGACTACAATGTTCTCTGCCTCTCAACCGAACGACAACAGGTGCTCTGGTGCATGCGCATAGGAGAAAAGGCCATTGTTGCCTCCCCACTCGAGTTGAGCAAGCAACAAGCTGTGATAATTTGTACATTAGATGGTGGATGTGCGTGTGTCTCACTCTTGGATGGCTCCGTCAAGTGGATGCAGAAATGCAAAGAGCCCTTTTTCGCTTCTCCCGTCCTGCTGGACTCGAGTGCCACGATTTTTCTCTGCGCCGAGGTAGCTGGACGAGTGCACGCCTGTGATGTAAATAGCGGAAAAATTGTGAGCCCATGAATATATGTTTCTCTACTCTATATATGTATATACATGTATATATACATATTTAATATTTACATCTTTCAGTTGGCCACGCATGAAGCTGATGGCAATATATTCTCTTCGCTGGTAGTCAAGGCCCCGCCCACTGACATGGGCCACACATTCGTGCTGTTTGGCTGCATCGATCATCATTTGTACTGTCTGCGCTGCAAGACGGACGCGTCAATGCATGTCTCGTTTGAGCTTCATTGGAAGGTCGATGTGTGCAGCTCCATATACGCCACGCCCACCATACTAACAGTAGAGGCCAATGAGAACTTAGTATTTTGTTGCGCCACGAATGGACGCGTTGTGGTGGCAAAACTAGGCAATGGTCACATACAATGGATGAATAAGATGGGCGGCGAATTATTTTCAACGCCGTGCTACATCGAGAGCCTAAGACGAGTTTATTTCGGGTGTCGGGATAACTTTTTATACTGCATGGGTCTTTAGAATAAATAATACGTTTATCTGTAAATAATTATTTTGTGTTATAATTTGTACATCGATTTTCGTTATGAATTTTTTCAAAGCAAAAACAATACACTTTCTGTCTTAAGAACTTAACGACCGTTTTGTTTTCTTGGGGTTTCATTCCTTATAGTGGATTTCACGAAAATCTGTATCTTCATCTGGTGAATTACATAACTTGTTACCATGAGCTATTATCTCTTCGTGTGTGCGAAAGAATCTTTCGAGTACCGGGCCGTAATGCACAATATCCGGCTGATCGCGACATTTGCTGCAGCAACTAGTCATTGACTCCGAGTTTAGAATGATATCTGCAAGTGTTGGTCCAGTCTCATATTCCTCTCTGGATGCAACCGAAGTGTTTGACGGAGCGTTTGGTTCGGATTGACTCAGATTTGCAAATTCCGCAGGAGTCAGGCGGGCTTCTTCGGCAAGGCGATTGATAGCCTCTCGCATACGATGGGTGAGACGGGGTGAGGTATAGAGTGCCGTAATGGGTCTGCTCTTCCTGCGGCTATTCGCCAGCTCCAGTCTCTGAAGCCTGCGCTCTTCTTTCAGTTCTTTGGCGCGCTCTATTTTCTTCCGACGTTCCTCTTCGAGATGAAGCATTGTTGGCGTTTTTTCCAGTTGGGCAAAGTACTTCACCCACTTCTCTCTCACCTCTCTGCAGTACTCGTCATCTAGAACAAACTCATTTCTCGTGATGGGCGAGGCAGACTTTTCTTCAGAGTTGACACTCCGATCCGGATTAGTACAAGTGAGTTTTAGTCCACTACGTCTCTTTTGGCGCGCTAACTTATCCTTTAAATTTGCAAACTTGTGCTCAATAAAATTCAACAAACTGGCGCCCTTGTGAGTGATATTATGGTCGCACGACATTAGAAGTACATTATAATGCTGCGGATCGTTTTCATACAGTTTCAACAGCTCTTGAGTCGACTTTGTCCTTGGCAATTCTTCCGCTATAAGCAGCTTGAGCATGTTCGGAATGTCTGGGTTATAAAGCGATCTCCTTAGTTTTCTCATCTGTGCGTCACACAGCAAGTGGTGGAAACTTAATTTCCCGAGTGGCATTTGTTTAATATCCAAAACAAAATTCCTATTGTTATGGAATACGCCACCCAATTTTTTAGAGCTTTTATTCAAAGTTTGGTTAGTGAGCTGCGCTTGGAACGCCAATTGCAAATTGTTTAAATAAAATGTGGTGAGCTCATCTTGCATTTGGGAAAGATTACGCTTGCCTGGAAATAACATCATCCGATTATGCTCAGTAATCAAATCCCGCCACACTTCCTCCAGATGCTCGTCACCTGGTCTAGGCTCATGCAAATTTTTGGTTATTATCTCAAAAGGCGCTGCTTTGCTAGCAAATAAATAGTAAATTATGACAGAGGCTGCCTTTTCCATTGAATAGAAATCAACTTGTTCCGCGAATGCGGTTCCCTTAGTGAAAGACGGCGTTAGCATGGGCTTTTTTCCGGCAAGCATCGGTTCATCAAAGGAACCTAATGAGATTTTTTCTTTTCTCTTCATTACGTTATAATAGTTTTCAAGACGTACCCTCCTGTCCTGATTCGAAGTGTATGGCCTATTTCCCGAAAGTAACATAGCTTTATGTAAATCATAAATTGATGCCCCAACGTTCGCGGATGACCAAACACTCTGTTTTTCATCCTCAGATTTGTTATCGCTATAATCCCGACTTTCTTGGGACTTTGTCTGTTTGAGTTGCGATTTGAACATCTTTATTAGCGGTTCGCTTCGGAATGAATCCGAACTTCCTTTCTTTTGTTTCATTATTTTAGTAGCTTTACGGATGAAGACTTCCATCATTTGAATAACATATCGCATAGCTTCCACATTTTCTGTCAAAACTCTATTAAATTTCCTTTTCATTTTAACCTTATGCGCCCTGGGATGGCTAGAATCTAGATATTTATTATAGCTACGTATTAACTTCCTTAGATTGTCAATGTATATTCGCCCGGTCCTTGAGTTATGCGGCATAACCTCAATATTTGAAGACACCGGCCCAAATTGAACTAAGCCTTGTTTCGTCTGTTGCAATGATTTCAAGAAATCAGCCAACCAATTTTTACACTGCTGTATAGATTGAATTGTCTCATTACTTCTCGCATTGCATGCACTGACCTCGGCTTTTGCTAAAAGTTTAAAAATGGATTTGAGCAAGACTTTCCTTCGTTTTCGGCAATCCTCCGCAAACGGTAATGTACGACTTCTAGTTGTGCAGCTGGAATGCTGACGATTAAGTGTATTATGGAAAGTAGCATTGGCCATTTTCCCAGGGGTAATTTTTCAAATGTACACCAAAATTTGCATTACAAATACTTGACTTTTATTTCAAATTAAACAAGCTAATAAGATAATATCGAAATTTTTTTATTTAGAGTTGAGAGACAGAGCTGAATAGATTTGGCTTCTACAGTATTTTTAACTTTACTATCTTTCTTCTTATCCCTTAAAAAATTATGGAAATCGAATCATTTTTTAAATAAAGATATAAGAAACAAAAGTAAATCCCATAATCAAGAATCAATTATGAAAGAATCATTATGAAGAGCTCGGTATAATTACAGATTATATGGATGGATATAATCAATATTGATAGCATCTGAAGGTAATACATTCGAGGTATAATTGCTCTGAATTTCTGGATATGTATTTAAAAATTGAACTCTGMTGTTACATTAGTGCAAAGCAAAAAAAATAAAATAAATAAAAGAAATAAATAAATAAAAACAGAAACATGCGATTAATTCCTGCATCAAATTCATTTCATATTTGTAGCAGAAAACATAAATGTTTTTTGTTAACATGTCTAATGGTATTCAATTAATTTATTTATATGAAATATTTCAATGGAAAAGCATGATGAAAGCAGACAAAAATATTAATTTACTATATTCCGTGTATAAACTGGAACGCGAAATAATCATTTCCGATTTGAAAGAAATTAAAATAAATTTGCTTAAGTACAACATATAACAGTGTTTTCTATGATCTTTGATCTTAACTAGGTTATTACTTCTGCTTCCATCTTAACTTAACATAAATTATTATAAAACTATTTGCAGATATTTGAGCCTAGTAATTCCATAGATATATATGTATATATATTTATGTCATGCATATTTACATAGTGGGGATGCGACCATTTTTATTTCGAAGTCTTAGCGCTTGCCTTCAAAATTGCTGCCGCCTTTGCCTTATTCTGACGCATTTGCTCCATATCACGTTCTCTTTGCAGTATTATCTCCTTGGTATGGTGTGAATTTAACGATATCACCGGCTTAATGGTTGCATTGAGTGTAGAAGACGATTCAGCCGCTTCTTCAGTTGCCGCTGTGGTTGTCTTTCGTCTGACTCGCTTTGGTCGAGTGGGCTGATTATCATCTGTTGCATCATTCACATTCGCTTCATCCGGTTCCGCTGCTTTCGTTTTCTTGGCACGTGTACGACGTGTTGGTTTAGTCGGTTTCTCCGGAGTTTCCGCATCGATCTTGCCAGACATTTTATCGATTGCCGTCTGAACACGTTTGCTGACCTTCGGTTGCTGCACTCGTAGCGCACTTTTCGCCGTAAAATAGTTGCGTATGGAGCCTTGTATCTTCTTTTCATTGATTTTCTTCATGACCGGCATAAGAATATCGTCCGTTTTCGATGTAGTCCAGCCAAATGATTTACGAGAAAATTCTCGTATGGATTCCACATCAGGGGAGCCCCAGCTGAAAGCGTCGCGATTGTCGTCCACCTTAGGTGTCAAGTAGGCCTCCACCACGGATGAACTGGGAAAGCCCTCATGCAACTCAATGTTCTTCAGTTTTTTGAGCAGCGAAAGGCGTGCGGAGCTGCCAATTGGTAAATTGGAGCTCTTATGCGCCTGCCACCATTCTCGAAACTTTTCCAATGTCGACAACACAGACTGCATGGACACACCAGATGACGAAGAGTTCGGCGATGATTCAGTATTCGGAGTTGATGTGGAAAAGGATGCAAGGATTTCAAGCGCTGTTACAGCGCCTATACCATGTATGCCTGCGGAATCAAATTCATTTAATTCGTGTTGGCTGCGCCTTATTGCAACTTACCTGTCGTATAATCACTGCCCACGAGACAGGCAAGCTGTATGAGTTTCCCTCGATTGCAGTTAAAGGTTTTCTCTATCTGCTCAGCGCGAAACTCAAGGACGTGCTTATTTTGAGCAAAGAAATTCTTATAAACCGTACGACCACCAAACAACCAGATATCACTATCGTCCGTTATGGTACCATTCGTGATGCCAACGGCGTTGAGGAAGGCACACTGCGCCTCTGCTTCCATTGGCGCCACAATGTATGGGATCCCAAATAGACGCAGCAGGTCTTGGCAATCGCTGCTCATGCGCTGACTGATTGACAAGCCCATGCGATCCTGACGATTGCGTTCAGCCTCTAGCTCGCGGCGTTCACCTGCCAAATTGTTGGCCATTTCCTGCAGTTCCTCTGCTGTCTTTTGAGATTTCAAGGCCTCTGCTGCGTCCTTGAGAATTTCCTGCGTACAATTATAAAGCAATTTCAATATAGCAGATTAATTATGAAATCGGTCCATATTTCCTTACCTCGGGGTTAACTGTCTTAGTCTTCTCCGGTTGTTCATTGGCTTCATTTCCAAACAGGGACTTGGCTGCTTTGCTGGACTTTTTGTTGGGTGAAACATCATCATCGCTGGGCTCCTCACCTGCACGTTTCCGTCCCGATTTTGGTGTGCGCTTAACAAAGAACGGCTTAGCTACCATCGGAGATGCAGGCGGTGTAACATTTGTGGCATCTGGTTTATCGGGCGTACGTTTAATCTTGTATGTAGTTTCAAAGAAATCTGTTATAGGCTTGGTCTTGCTGGGTGTCTTATTTGGCGATGTGCGACGCACTTCACTTTCATTATCACAAAGATCAATAACATCTTTAGATGCTTGAGAGGTTGCCACTTTTGCACTCTCATCATCAGAAGATAGTTCGATAACCATGCTATTGCTTATCTTTACAGATTCCAATTTAATGTTTTTAACTTCATCCGTTTGCCGCTTAAGCTCATCAAGTATGGAGCTCAATGGAGGCTTGGGCTCTTCGTTTTCCTCTGTGAGATCTAATGTTATATTTTTAACTTCCTCTGATTGTTTCTTAAGATCAGAAAGTATAGAGCTGAGCAAATCCTTCTTAGAGTTATCTTCTACCTCCGAGACAACGAGTTTATCTTCATCAATTTTCTTTGTATCTTCTTGTGTTTCGTCTTCTTTACTTTCGCTTTCTTTCAACTGATTCGTATTCTTAGTTTCTATCATACTCTCATTTACTTTTATTGCATCCTTCGGCGGGATGTTTTCATTACTGGATACATCTTTACACTTGATTTCTGCATCTTCTCCATCAGTTTCCGGCTTAATGCTGGTATTTACCTTGTACTCTTCATCGAAAATGTCCGCAAAAAGATCATCGTCTTTATTCAATGCATCTTTTACGTCAATTCGGATTTGAAGACCATTTCCTGCAGGCACTACCGTTGCTTCATCAACTTCTTCCAGGTCTGAATCAGTGTCGCTATCGATGGTTTGAACTGTGTCAGCCTTATCTGGGCTGTTAACTTGCACTTGTTGACTTAGCTCAATGGCCAATGCGAGCTGTTTCGCTTCCTCAATCGAATTGTTTGCCATATCCGTATTTCCTATATAATCGTTTCCATTTGGATCTTGTAGCAAACTTTCTATGCTTTGAGTATCATTCAGTTGAGTTGATTCCATAATGTTGCCAACTTCTTCCTCGTTCATGCCAGCATATTCAATCATATATGAGCGAGCGGGTCCCTTGGCAGCATGGCGTAAGTTTTTGCTTTGCTCGCGATTCAAACGCAAGTTCTGATCAGCATCGTACTCGTAGTCTTTGTCGTCATAGACCTTCTTGGATTCGTCCAGAAATAGGGACAATGCCAATTCCAAATCAACGTCACACTTGGCGGGCGCCTTCTTTTTCTCTACTTCGGTGGATGCTTCTGTTGAGGCGAATGCTTTTGTTGAGGTGCTTGGTTTTTCATCGATTTCTTCTTTGATGGTCTCACATTTGCTGCTCGTTTCGGCGCTCTTCTCTGCTGCCATAGCCTTTTTCTTAAGATCACGAACCAATAAGAACCTGGTGTGCTCATCGGAACTTATTTGACGTGTACTTCCGGCGATGGCTGTAGGCGTGACTATGCCCTCCTCGCTGAAGAACTCGGACAACTCGGCATAGGTGAGAGTGTGGCCACCCATCTCTTGCTGCGCTTCCTCAAGGCTCTCCTGTACAGCGCGGCGCTTTAAGAGACGCTTCATTTGAAATGAGCAGAACTCATCGCTTCGTGCTGGCAGCTCATGGAGGCGACCCCACGACGATTGCTTGCGTGTCTCCTTGATGTCCGTGAGTATTTCGTGGCGGACGTCAGCTGGCAGGTTCTTAAAATGCTGGCTACGCACATCAATGGCCTGCAAGCTGGCATCATATGTACGCCGGGCATTTGACTCGTCGAAGGAACTATCTGATGTGGTGGTTGCCCCATCATAATTCTCACTATCATAATCTTCGTTAGAATCGTTGAGCTGTGCAGCGGTTGCAGCTGGAAGCTCTGGCAGTTTAAAGAGATCATCTTCATCGCTTTTGTTGGATTTTTCTGCGACTAATCGCTTGCCGGGAGATTTCAACAGCAGCTCCGCGTTTTTACCCAATGCCTGCTGCACGACCTTCTCCTTGGCCAGCGATTGGAGCAGCAGTGCTTGAATCCGATCGGCCTCGTTGCTCAGCTTGTTGCGTTGCTGATGGCGACGCGCCTGCAAATAAAACAGTTTTACTACCTGTAGCAATACAACTAGCCAATAAACCACTGACAATTGTATCGCGCTTCAATTGCGGCACGCCGCCATCAAATATGAACACTGGCCGCACGCGGTAATAAAGCAATTTGCATAGTCGATGAAAGAGACCCAGGAGATGCGCATTATTCAATGCAGATCCTTTGCTATCCTGAAAGCCCTTCACAGCCTGATGCAACCATATGGAAATATCTACCAACATATAAAACAAGGTAATTTCATCAATAAAGTGGAGGACAATCTCATTGAATTTCACAATATTTTTTAATGATCCCTACCAATTGCCAGCACTTTTCCCTCCAATGTCTCCACGGGCACGGGCTTTCCACAGGGCTCTATCAACTTCCATAGGCCAGTTACACCCATTTTGTATTGAATACAACAGATTTGTGGCGTACTACATGAAGCAAACAGCAATTTGAACTCGAGAAGTTTTGATAAATGCCGATTGCTAGAGATGGACTCGTGCCGAACTTATATCCATCACACACACGTGCACGTGGAGTGAACCATACAAAAATTACTTTTAAACTGCGAAGAGAAGAAGTACTTCACAACATTCAACTATGAATGAATTTACTGTACTAAATTTATTTCAAAATCATGTTATTATTAGAAATCACACCTTTCCACGTCCCATTTGGCCCTAGTGCCAGAAGTGTTGTAAAATGCGTTCCAGTGACCACGTTCATGCGTAAGCTAATCGCGATATCGGAATTAGTTAAATTAATTTGTAAAAATAATCTTTCAACACGAATTACACCACTTTTATTCAAAGTAATTTATTATAAATTTAGTTTTTACAATGATTTAAGGTCTATGGCTTTTACAATCAGTACCAAACACATTATGACTTAAATATTCATCTTATGATTTATGTATTTATTAGCTAGACTCACTATACTTAAAGAGAAATATGCGTTGCTATTATTAGCACTAAGTATTCTTATTTGTAAATAAACCCGGTATAAAACAAGTTTATTATTAAACACGCTGACTGCTCCATTCCATTATTAGGCGGCTTCTTCACTATCGACAGCTACTACCGCTGAGCTGCTACTTGCTGTGGCATCTCCAGTTGAAGCGTCTTTCTTGTTGTTGGCTTTACTCTCCTTTTTGTCCTTAACCATCTTTCGGTAGACCTCCAGATCTTGGGTGAGCGATGGGACGAAGCTCTCAAAGTCCAGTTCGTTTAGCGTTTGCAAAATATCCTTCGCTGTAATGGTCCTGTGGTTCTGCTTGTGCGCCAGTGCCGTTGAGGACGATGTTATAAATATTGCAAATACGGAAGCGGCTTTTGCGATTGCGGCACGCGCCTCTTTGCTGACATTGGAGCCATCGGGCAGGGCTTCCTTGATCAATCGCGCAATCACAGCATTGGGCAGATTCAAGTCTTCAATGCGTTCGACCATATTGTACACTAATTATTTCAATGGACGAAAGGATACCAATAATGTTTATATTCCGTACGAATGCGTCTTGTTGTTCTTTCCCGCGTTAAACACAGATGATCCCAGTCAGTGCTGTATAATGCAGCACGTGAGGCGGGAGTGCTGGATATCGGATGGGTATATCGAAATATCGATGTATCGCAATAGCATCAACAATGATGATGATAGCTAACACAAACATTTTGCGCGTTTATTTATTTAGTTTGGTCATTTGGTGCCAATAGCAGCATAAATGTGCAAAACACAGTTTACAAATATATTCCAGCTGTTTTATTTTGAGCCCAGGTGATATAAAGCCTCAGGGTGTGCAATCCCAACAATAGCGTCCACACGCACATGGAGAATTTGACGGCGTCGCCGACGAAATCGACAACGCCAAAGAAGCGAAGACGCAGCGAGTATCATGATCCCGATTATAGGTTCGGATATGAGAGCCCGCCAACCGCCACTGCGGGCGAAGAGAAGAAGCGCATTAAGCTCGAGCAAGAATACCAGCAGAATAATGACAACCAGAATCAGGGGAATGAGCCAAGCAGTACACCCCGAATCACCTTTACCGTTGACAGCGTGGCGAAACTCAAGCGCTTTGAGGAAATCGTCCGCGCGGAATTCCAGAGGGAATTGAGCACAAAGGAGCAGCAGCTGAACGAGATTGATGCACGACTATATCAAGCACGCCAGCTACTGGACAAGCTGCGATACCATGTGGTCAGCGAGTACTACAAGAAGCAACAGGTGCCATTGACAGCTGCGGATGTGGCTAAAGTGCGATCTAGCGACACATTGTTCGGCGAAGGGCCTGAACGAAATGGAGCCCAATTGCCACTGCATCCGGCAATCAAGAAAATAGTTGGCAAGCGGCCAGTTCCTCTGCAGCTGCATCTGCCGGAGCGCACAGCCGCAACGCTGGCCAAGGAGACGATTCGCCTACGAAATCCTGCAAATCGACGGGCGGAACGCAGGCGACAACGGAAGATACGTGATCAGGGCATTGTTACGGATCACACCCAGGAGCAACAGAGGGAAGTAGACGCGGCCAGTCACGAGGAACATCCCTGCACTAGCAAGCAGGCATATCAAAACCAAACGGAACTAGACAGTCCCTCAGTATCAGCGCTGAATGCCTCACGCTTAAACAACAAAAACAAGTTTCACTTTGTGGTGGGCAACACCTCCAAGTATCTGGGCGGTGGTGATCTGGACACTCGAAATGGTCAATCCCTTGTATACAAATGGCTTGTCTATGTCCACGGCAAAAATCTACCTCAGCCGCTCGAGTCGTACATAAAAAAGGTGAGTTGTAAACGTCAATTCACTTGTTGGCAATTCATTAACAGTTATTGTCTTAGGTGCGTTTCCAACTGCATCACTCGTACCGGCCCAACGACATTGTGGACGTTCATGCGCCACCATTTCGGCTGACACGTCGGGGCTGGGGCGAGTTCCCCATGCGCATTCAGCTTTATTTCCAAGAGCATCTGCAGCAGAAACCCGTTCAGCTTATCCACAACATTGTGCTGGATAAGACCAGGTGCGGCCTGCACACCATGGGCAGCGAGACAACTGTGGAGGTTTGGCTGCGTGCCGATGTGCCTGCAACAGTTCCCATTACGCCACCGCCAAAACCTATTAAGAAGGAGCCGCCCACAACAGCCGCGACATCGGCAAATGCACTCCTCTCGCCCGAGAACAATTCCAAACCGCGCACCATTTCAATAACGCAGAACAAGGAGGAGCTGGATGATAATCTTTTTGCAGGCATCAACAAGATCGAGCTGAGCGACGACATTGAGCATATTGAGCCGACGGTGCTTGTCTCGGAGGTCTTAAAGTTGAGCAGCCCGAAGAAGAAACAAATGCCCGCAGCCGCAGCTCCGAATAAAAGCCCACTCCCCCGCAACTCCATTGAAACTGCGCCTGCTGTTAGTACCAGTCTGCCCGCAGCTCTTCCCACCATAAATGGAAACAGCAAAAAGCCAACAGCAATGGTTGCACAACTGCGCAAAGGCAATCCCAAAAACGTAGTCTTCCAAAAGGAAGGCAAACTCTATATCATCGATCCGCTGCAATCCAAGCTAAAGCAGGCTGCCAAGCAGCAGTCGCTGCTCAAGCCTCAACTCAGTTTGCTCAAGCAGCCAAAACAACAGTTGTCCATGCGATGGCACCTCCTGCAGTGCATCCAAAACGATCACGGCTACGCCAACATGAGCAGCAATGAGGTGCCTCCTGCGCCGGCAGTATTGAGCCAGCGCCTGACGCTCGAACAACTCTTTCGCAGCATTCCCTTCCAGAGCATGCGAAGTGCTGTGGAATTCTTGCTACGGCGGCTGCCATTGGCAAACGCATTGGACAAAGGCAACTTAAATGGGAATGAGTTTCCCTTTGGCACTCAGACACTAGCGACATTCCAGGCACAGCCCGCTTTGCGTCAGCGGTTCTTCGAATTTATGCGCGGGCGCACGTTGCTGCGTTGCATGCGTCAGCATCTAAGTCTGCAGCATCTGCACACAAGCGGAAAGGAATCCTTTTGGAGTACGCGAGAGATTGTGGCATTTGCACGTCTGCACGGATACACGCCGCCTCTAAAGATGCTCTGCGTTACTAGACAAAAGTCGGAGTCGGCGGCGTTGCCATTGTCGGAGCGAGTGCAACAACAGCTGCAGGAAGATCCTCAGGCACAGTTGTTGCAATTTTTCAGTCTCACCTCGAAATCCAACTTGGATAGCTGGTTAGCAAACCGGATTGCTGGATTGCAATGTCGTGATCAAAGATTAGACGACGAGGAGCCAATCGAAGTGGTCAACCTGTTGCCATCCAGCTCAGAGATCCAACGACCTGCAAACGCATTCGACACCAGACTAAACCAAGATTTGCTATATTTACCGCCGCCCGAGGAACTGGATGCTGCCACGCAGCTGGTGCGGGACATGTGTAAAGATGTTGGCATCATCTTGCATCCAGAGCAAAGCGTGCCAGGAGTTTCCCAGTCTTTGGCCCTCACGCTCTTGGCCCACGTGCTTCGAATGTTCATAGAAAAGTTGGTCCGTCGCTCCGCTGCAACCAAACTGCTGCAGCAGCAACAGCCGCATGCAATCGAGACGCTGCCACCGCCGGCGGCTAATCTAGAAATGACCTTGCTACCTCACGACATCGGCCGTGTGATCGCAAAAAGTGCGGAGTTTGATTTTCTCGGCAACTCTTATCTTGGCGTTGAGCACAAGGACTCGCAGTCCGATGCGTAATTTGCTTAATTTATGCATTACATTGATGCCACTGGCGATTTCTCTAGTTCAAAATCCTCTGGGATATTAGGTATAGATAAATAAGTTATTTTTAAATATACGTATGTTATGTATTTAATAAATTTACTATACATTTTTTAAAAATTCGTTTATTTTCTTATGAAAATTCGTTTTTTTTCTTATGAAAGAACGATTTTGCCTAATTAATATCGGCAGAGCAAGATTATATTAGCAAATTTATATTTTTAATAAAAAGAAAATTATTTCTGAATGAAAACTTTGCAACAAATGTATTTGATCCTATTCCAAAAAGGCATGTAACTTAATATAAAATGTTTCATTGCTAGAAAAACTAGATAATTAATAATTAAAATGGCAAGTATAAGAGCGGAAATTCGTGTCGGACAACATGCGATAAAATCATTTATAATTTACTACTTGTTACTTATTAATGCAAAATTAGATTTCGTTTCTACTAAAGCTAGCAAAAAACTTGTTTTAAACAGACCAAAAATTAATACAATGAACTACGGGGAAAGGGAACAAGCAAAGGTAAATATACATGAAAATCGATCATTTAAGGCATGTATTCCTTCTCCATCCGGAAATATACATAAAACTCAAATTTGTGAGTTGTGATGTAATAAAAATTCGAAATGTAGAATCGGTTTTAAGTAAATATACATTTATTTTGCTTTAAATGTTTTCTATTTGTTTTTGTTTTTGATTTGCTTTTCAACAATGTATATATTCCGCTAAGGTTTATTTTTTAACACACACAATGTTATTGTAGTTTTAATTGTTGTTATTGTGTTCTCTATCAAACGTTATACATATAATTAAGGTAAATAGTTTAAAACAGCTATGTAATGATTATATTAACTTAAACGTTTATGTAATTAAAAAATATAGAAAAATTCATTTGCTTACGCATCAAACTATGAACAAAATTCTTATTTTCATTATTTTTTTTTTTGTTTTGCTTGTTTGTAATACTTGACATAGTGAAACTAAAAATTGTAAATTGGTGTCTCTTATGTATAGATATATTTCTCATGAGTGTAGAATCACAGCCTTTTCACGAACATTGAACATTGCAGTTCGGTTATGTTTGAATTGTCCAGTATTTAAAGATTTCGTCTATTCTATACATATGATGTATATAAATATATACATATATATATAGTATAGTACATACATATGTGTAATCTATGCCTAATTAATCCAATGGCATTGTATGCGTACACATTAATCCATAGGGTATTATGTTAATCAGTTGAGTTTAATTAGAGTTCCGTTGCAAGTGTTAGGATTGCGCTAGGCTAGGTGGCTAAGTGCACTAAATACGCATAGGCAAATACATACATACATTAACTTCCTACTTATATACAAATAAATATTAATTGATGAAGACATACATATAATTGTTGTTGAATTATAAGGCAAAAATTCGAACTAAAACGTCTAATTCATTACGCTCTCTAATGGGGATTATGTCGCTAACTCATTTACATTCTATTCAAATTGCTTCTAAATGTATCTATGATAAACGAAATAGTTAGAGCTAGTCTATTTAATTGCAAAATACAAATTATGCTAATCGGTGTCGAAAGGCCACATATTAAAACTAAAAGTACATTTGTTATAGTTATACGGTTCTGAACGGTTGGTTTGTTTGCTTTTGCTTGAATGTCGCGGCTGAAAGTTTCGCCGTTTGGCACTGGATCAGGTAATCGTATTTATAATCTGATTCTTAGACCCATAATCGGCGATTCTGCAAGAAGTCAAACATTAGATATCATTATATTAAGATGAACAAATACAAGTTGGCTTTCAGTTAATTAAGAGAGCTACAATATATAAATAAAAGGACACAAAATAATAAAAATTAAAAATGAAACGCATTTACGTAATGGTGCATGCATGCATTGCTAAAGTATAATCAAATCATTCAAATGCAACTTGCAATTTCAATCCTGTGCGATATCATTTGTGCCTTTTACCTATAAATTGATGAGGCTGACGTCGAGCGCGACCACGTTACTAACAAACCCTCACCTCTGCTGCGCTCGCGTTTACTCTGTAGTATGACCTTGGTGCTGTCGTCGGGGCATATCGAGGTACACACAGTGCGAAAGACCAGGCTGGAGTGACAGAGTCGACAGAGAGTGCATTCATTAGCAAACGAACAAAGGTTACAATTATGCAGTTAATTTACCGAGGGAGCACAGCAACTACCGTGGACAGCATTATAACCAGCCAGTGCACCGGAGATGCAAAGCATTTAAAGATGACCCAGTAAGTGGAGGGCAGTCCGAAGCAATTAACGCACATAGAATTGTACACAACGGAGAAGAGATAGAATAGGCCCAGACTAATTGCAATCGAGAGGACATGCAGCACCGTCTGTAGAGAAGAAAAGAAGATATGTCACTAGCTCTCGGGAATATGTGTTCAAGCATCGCTTACCCAGGAACGTATTTCGATGCAACAGTGCACTAAATTTGCAAACAGACAGCTCGCCGTTATAGTTGTGCCGAATTCCCAGATCCCCACTTCACTTTCCGCATAGGCGCAGAGGGTAACAAAGAAGATGACAAGTGATTGGTAGAGCGCATCCAGCAGAATTACCCAAAAGTCATGCGGCCTATATGCAAGACCCAAGCGACCCTAAAATATTATTATATTATATTATTGTTTATATAAATAAATGTGCTGCAGTTGCGTTGCTTACATTTTTGTAGAGATAGGGATTTTTCAGTAGCAACTCCTCCGGCACACGATTATCGTAGACGCCAATCGCTAGAGGAGGTAGGGATGTGAACAATAGGTTGTAGAGCATTAGATACATTTGGTCCATCATCACAGAGCCGGAGAAGCCGCAGTACAATTGATACCAGAATATAAGAAAAACGAAAGCCTGCAAGACCAAATACAAATCCACTAGAGCTCGAACCGATGCTTAGATCTTAAATCTGTCTATTTTTCCTACCGCATTCTTATAGAAGAAGTAGAGAATCATGCGGGCCAGGCGATCGTAGCACCAATAGCCATGCGAGAGCAACAGCCGCTCCAAGTAACGGAAACGTGAGAGAGTAAAGTCAGATGCCATCACTGCCTGCATGCCCTCCTGGCCAGAGATACCGACGCCCACATCGGCCATTTGAATCATTGAGACATCGTTGGCTCCATCGCCAATGGCCAGAGTGCGCAGATTGAGCTCCTCCTTGACCACCTTCACCAGGTATGCCTTTTGCAATGGAGTCGAGCGGCAGCAAAGCACCGAAGCGCAGCCTTTGGCCAGCTTCAGAAAAGGCAGAGTCAATTTGGATCTGCAAGAAGCAAGCATTGAAGCCAGGAACTTAGTTTGGGTTTATGCACGAACTTACTTGGGATCCAAAATGAATGTCAATGTTTTGCCATCCACGACCAAGGCGCGCGGCTTACAGCGCGGCGCTAAGCTATATCCTGTGGAGCTGACCGCCTTTGCATTCCGCATTTCAGTCAAGTAAAAGTTGATGGCCGTCTCAGCCGCATCGCGAGATCGAGCAGTAAGTCTACATCGATGGAAAGTGGTTGAATTTGTGGTCACGAAAATGTTGTTGATTCACTCACTTGATCAGCTCCATTTGTTGGGTGAAGAGCTTGGCCGAGTAGGCAATGTTGATGGCCGTTTCCGGCTTGTCGCCCGTCAGCACCCACACGGAAATACCCGCCGAGATCAGCGAAGCTATGGTCTCGGGCACACCATCCTGTAGGCGATCTTCAATGCCCGTGGCACCCAGCAGCGTCAGGTTGCTCTCCAAACTGGCGAATGATTCACGCAAACGTCTCTCGCGGTTTTCCAGCGACATTTCAATCTCCTGGTGACGAGCCCACCAGTCCGTATAGTCAGAGGCATTCAAAGTACGCTTCGCCATGACCAGAATACGCAGACCCTCACGAGCATAGCGATCCAGCTGCTGCTGCGTCTGTTCACGCAGTATGGCTACAAGAGAGATTGGAAAAAAGTTTACAATAAATTGGGTATTACTTAAAGCATATATTATTTATTTATTTTACCTTCGGGACTGTTTTGGGCGCAGGGCGCCAGGACGGGCATAATGGAACTGTCGGCACCTTTTGTATAAAGGACAATCTCCTGGGTGCCCGTCTGCCTAACAACTATTGACATGCATTTGCGGCTTGAGTCGAACGGCAGTATCTTGAGTATCTCATACTCCAGAGTCGCGCCAGCGGTTGGCATGCTCACTAGGATGTGATTGGGACTGCGATTGAGCAAGCAACAGTCGTAGCTATAGGCAGCATTTACCAGCGCCAGCTCATCAGGACTCTCTGCCTCGTACAAAGGACGTCCATCGGCAGTTCTGTAAATGGTCTGAGTCTTGGTTTGGCTGAAAATGGAACAGGGCATAAATAAATATGAGATCAACTCTATATATGATCCTCAGCTAACACTCACTCGATCTTCATGCGCTTGCCGTGCGTCTTGGCATTTAGAAACGTGGCTATGCTGGTTATCTTGGAGTTGATCACAGCCTTGGCTCGACCCGTGGGCGAAATACTGTTGGACAGCGCCTTGCTCTTCATGGGCGGCGACGGGGACTCCGAATTGGGCGTGGATTCTGGCGAACTGCTAATCGGCGAGAGCGTGGGCTGATGACCCTGTGCGGGCATGGCAAACAATAGATTGGGCGGCGGTGACGGAGTCACGGAACGCGACTCGGCCAGCCGTGTATAACGATCCGTGGGCAGAGCCATCGGTCCGGCCTGCGGCACGCCATTGATGATAGTGGTCGTCGTTGTTGTCGTCGTCACCAATTTGTTGCGCGGCCGCAGGTGCTTGAGAGTGGACGGCGTGGGGCCTGTGGCTGGGCTGCTGCTGTTTTGTTGCAACTCAATGATGCCGCTGGCATTCATGAGATCTCGATGCGGCGCCGCACTCACGATGACCGTATTGCAAATGGCCAGCACAATAAGGAACTCCTGTATGCACTGTGCATGGGGCGCCAGATAGGCACCGCCACTCACACCGGCCAATCTCTGCATATCATCCTGCAGCGTCTCATTGGGTATGAGCGGGGGAGCTGGCGCACCCGGCTTGGTGTACAGCTTCTCCAGCTCCGATGGCGGATGGTT